TGCATGTCTTAGTCTGTTTCTGCAGATCTCACAGCTCAGGTTCCTGCTCTTTTCCTTAATCCTAAATCCTTATTCATTGTTCAGCCAGACCTCTTCTTTCAGCTCTTAGTCTCAATATCCATTCCCCGCCAGTTTCAATTCCCAGCTCTTCATAGTTTTATTTCTATAACCTCTTCCCTTTTGTGTGGTGCTTGGGACAAGTTCTCTCTTCATTTGACTTGGACAGCTTCCTCCTTTTTGTGGCAGGGTATTGGAGAAGTCACTGAGAGCCTAGAGGGCATGACCGGCTTCTCAAACGTGGTCTGGTTTAGTTGATAACCTCCACTGTGTTTTACCTCCTGATGTGGGGATTTTAAAAGGACCACCAGTGCTAAGAAAACTAGCAACCAACGAACCTCAGGAGGCTTAGGTTTTGTCAGTGTAATAAACAAAAGGGATCTGAAGAGACACATGGCTTAGATTTGTGTGATAAGAAAATCCTTTTGTACAAACTCAGTTGTATTAAAACTGTAGTGGGAAAGCCAAACCTCTTAATATAAATGTTTGAATATTTTAGAATTCTCTCCAAAGAATCTACTTGGTCCTTCATGTTTCTAATATCAGTGGAAGCCCCTCAGGAAAATTACATTCTTAAAACATCTTCAGTAGTGAAGATCCTTTATTTGCTACATTAAACATTTACAGCCCAATGTCTAATCTCCCCAGTCCCCTAAGGTGTGTCAGACTGAAAATCAGTTTTCCTGGCATTCACATCTACCGTAATGATCTGTCTTGGGGCTGTTTTGATTGGGATTTGAGTGGGTTAATCATGGTGTTTGGATCACAAATTGAATCCTTTCATACCAATAAGTGGGGAAGTTAATTGAATTTTATTTTTTTCTTCACGGTGCCATATGCAGTATATTCAGGTTTCTTCCATTTGTGTCCTCAGTACTACTGAAGAGTTCACTAGCTTTAGGTATTCAGCATAATGGGCAGTTAATAGGTGGAAGATTTATTCTTTGTTTATAAATTACGTAGTTAATTTCATGAGGACTTAGGAAATCACTACTAATCTTGCACTTAATTGGAGCATCATGCTAGCCGTACTGCTGCATCTACTCAACCCTCCCCCTGATGATACTTGATTTTGGTTAGTGTGCCTAGGAACAAAAAGCTTGCTGCAGTACTGGTTCAGAATATGAAGCAACTGTCTGCCTGTCTCTTCTCCTGAGGTTCTTGCGCTGCTGCTCATCACTGCAGTGTTAGAGTCTGTATCCACAGTTCACTGGACAAAGTCCTTTTCATCATTCAGGGAGCATAAAGAATGCAAGTGGCCAGAAGAGCAGGCACCTTGGGAGAAAAATGTCTGACACTTGAATGTTGTGGCTTGGCTCATGATCTGAGCTGATCCCTTATTTTTAGCATATTCCCATGTGTGGATATATCTGTATATTCACAGGAACAGACATTGTCTGGGTGTATGGGAAAGTTGCTCTGCAGTGCCTGTGCTCTTAATGTAAGACTTTGCCCTCCCATCTATCACCTGGCATATCTAGTAATCACTGTGTCCCACAGCACTGTTCTGTACTGTCCACATCTTCATCTTCATGGGGTTATTCAAAAGCTAGAAGCTTCTTTATTCCTGGATGAAATTGTCCACAGTGATATTGAATGCCATGCATGTTGACTGTATGCCTTTAACTGATTTATCATAACTTAACTCATTTTGCCCCTATTGCACAGAATTGCCCTATATTTAAAACGAGCAACAATACCATAGTTTCAATCCCATTATCAATCATTAAGGATTTGCTTTTGTTTTCAAACAGCAGCTATTGTGAAGCACTTTGAAAATCGTAGCTGCGTGGTGTGTTCATAGAATCATAGAATGGTTTGGGTTGGAAAGGACCTTAAAGATCATCAAGTTCCAACCCCCCTGCCATGGGCAGGGACGCCTTCCACTAGACCAGGTTGCTCAAAGCCTCATCCAGCCTGGTCTTGAACACCTCCAGGGATGGGGCATCCACAGCTTCCCTGGGCAACCTGTTCCAGTGCCTCACCACCCTCATAGTGAAAAATTTCTTCCTCATGTCTAGTCTAAATTTACCCTCTTTTAGCTTATAGCCGTTACCCCTTGTCCTATCACTACACTCCCTGATAAAGAGTGCCTTCCCATCTCTCCTGTAGGCCCCCTTCAGCTACTGGAAGGCTGCTGTCAGGTCTCATCGGAGTCTTCTCTTCTCCAGGCTGAACAACCCCAACTCTCTCAGCCTGTCCTCATAGGGGAGGTGCTCCAGCCCTCTGATTAATTTCATGGCTCTCCTCTGGACTCCCTCCAACATGTCCATGTCTTTTTTGCCCCACATCTGAACACAGTACTCCAGGTGGGGTCTCACAAGAGCAGAGTAGAGGGGGAGAAGTATGTTGTGCATACTTACTGTGGTTTGTGGTAAAAATGAGGCATGGGAACATTTTCCTTGCTGAAAGTCAAATGGGTCTTGCAAAAAAAAAAAAAAAACACCACAAACAAAATAACAAAACAACACACCACAAAAAAACAACCAACCAACGAAAAACAAAACAAAACCCCACAGAAAATCACAAACAAAAAAACCTTTGGCAAGCGACATTTTAGCATATACTGTAGTGTTATCCAGTAATGATGTAAAAGTTTTTTCAAATGAGCATGAACCATGTGGAATGGAACCATCTGAGACCCACCTCACTTACCTTATCCCTTAGCTAGCCATTGATGCAAAACGTCATAGGTCATGCTAATTCAGGATTTCCAGGCAGCAAAAGCTACACACTTCTTTTTAAGGGCAAAGTCACCCAGCCCCAAATTCCAGAATTGTTCTATGACCACCAAGATTAGATGAGATGTAGTTTGATTAAATCCGTGAATCATTACTTTCTTCTTCACTCATTAGATAAGGCCCATAAATGTCACCACTAAGCTATCTATTGCATACTAGTGTTTTCAGACATTTTGGTTGGTTTTCTTTAGAATTCTAAATGCTCATAAGGTCCTTCTCCTTTGAGCTGTCAGGAATGGTAATGATTAAGGATTTCAGTTCTTTGTTAGCTGTGCTGTTTTGGCAGATCAAAGTTCTGGTCCCCATTAAGTGCATATACTCCTCCATGAAGGAAGGAATTCAACAGAAAACAGAACAAATCTGTGGTGACAGTTTATGAGCCAGTAGTGTAGCTCCCTAGTTCTCTGTAGCTATTGGAGGTGTAGTTGTGTCTGGTGCAATTCACTTCTTAGTGCTGTAAATGAATGTAACAAATGCTTCTTTTAGTAAGGGCTTCAGAGGGATCTGATGAATTGAAACTAGATAGTCATTAAGTACTCTCTACAAAGAGCTTAAGGGTCTCCTGTCAGAGCAAGTTGAGCAATAATAAACACTAAGCAAAGAGAAGAAGTCTGTAACCCAGAGCATCCAAGTACATCAAGCAAACCTCGCAATTGACCCTCCTTCCACTCTCTTGTCTCTTGTTCTCTGTTCTGTAATGAAAAATCTGAGAGTTTGCACTGTTCCCATCTGGCCTTTCTGAAAATGTGCAGGTGGATTGGCATCACTATTGGATGTCAGTATTGCTTCAGGAGAAGTGTGAGCTTTTCCCTTCTTCCCTAGTCTTCCTGACAATCCCTTCTTTATATTCTTGTTTCTCCCTCTGGCTTTTTTTTCCCCTGCTTCTGGATTTCCCAGGTTCGTCGTTGTTCTGCTGTTCAGCTTGCTTTCCAAGTACGATGCTGGCAGCATTGTTGATGTGTCCCCAGGGCCTTGCACTGGCCTCTGAGTCCCATAATGACCTTGACCGCCTTAGGTGCTCCCCTACTCTCCTCCCTGAAAACACTTGAGCTTCTCTTTGTGCTTCCAGCCTTTGTGGGCCACAAAAATATGAGCCATGTTTCCCATTATCTTTTAGTGCTGTCTTGTTCTCGTGTCAGAATGAAGAGTTTCTTGGTAGATAAATATCTCTCCTTCTTAATCAACTTCTTTTGAATGACAGTAGGGGCAGCAGCACAGTTGTTTTTTCTATTTGTCGCAGAACTGTCAGTGACTTAATGTTGCTTCTTGTTATCCAGTTACCAAAATTGTTTATGAGTTGATATACTGCTCTCCTTCTGGAATACTTCATATGAGGATTTAAATCTCTTTCCTGCTGCTCCCCTACTTTTTAGGGACATGGTTTGATTGAAGACCCGCCAGGGAGAAAAAAGAACTTTATTCAGTGATTCAGTTTTAGAAAATCAGGTACCTAAGTGTTTTCACTTGTTTTCTTTTTATTTAATAAGATCTTGGTAGGTAGCTCTCTTGGTACCTTCCTTATGGACCCACTTATACTTTTTTTCTCTTTTATTCTTTTTGTGAGTTTGTTTTGGGGTTTTTTTGCCTGCAAGAACGGTATGGCTGTGGAAACCTAAATCCCCTGTTATTAAAAATGCTGCCCTCAGCTGAGAGGAATTATTTGCTGTATTTTTACAAGTTCTCTTTTTTCCTCTGAGAAAATATGGAGATGTTGTGTCAATTTTGTGTGTCAATGCAATAATGTCTGTTTGATTTGAAAGCAGCCTTTCATCAAAATGACATGGTGCTGGACAGTTTCATCTGAAATCAGGCTGTAACTTTCATTACTTTTAAAAGTCTAGAAAAAATATTTAGAGTTCTGAAAATGAAACATCACTCTTATTTCAGTGTATAAGAGTACCCCTCTAAACTCTTGTTCCTTTCTTTGCACTTAATAATTGATGTTGACATCAGACAATGAAGTACACATTTAGCTGAATCTGTTTTAGATTCTTCGGTGTGAAAGACAGTTGAAAACTGAAATCTTTGATAATTATAAATGGGCAAAACTTATGATGAATAATATGTTCTGGATTTTAAATGACCGTTAAGCTTTAGATAGTAGAAAGCTTTTGTGAGCACATTAGAAAAAAAGGAAGTATATAGAAAATCCTTTAAAGTTACTCCAGTTAAGGATGTTTTATTTTGTTTTGGGTTTTACAGCCATTCCCCTAGGAATTATAGTTGTACGAGGAGATTGTGACTTGGAGACTTGTCGTATGTACATTGACCGTCTACAAGAGGTGAGGTTTTTTTGAATTAAGGTATCATTTATTAATCTATATTATGCTTCTTTCTGTTCTGAGTGCAGAGGTCTAATAGTTGCACAAACCATATATTAAGAGTATTGCAATTTGCCTACAGCTGAAAACAAGGCTTTAGAGTTATGATATGGTAATAAAAGTGGGAGTAGCACTAAAAAGTATTTTCTCAACAGGAAAGGAAAAGTCATACTGACTCCTTTTAAAGAATGACAGAATTGACATGGATGGGTGTGTTTACTTCTCCTTGAATTGGAACGGAATACCAGGACTCTCAATTGTGGAAATTACATAAATTATTGATTAGAAAGTGTGTTATGTAAGGATAAACATAGTGGTATTTGAGTGGGTCAAATTATGCAGATGTCATTTTCTAACACTGACATGGGATAATCTGAGACAGCAATAAACACTGCAAATGTGAACTAGATATTTCCAAATACACAGAAATGGATGCTCATGCAGCTAATATTAATGTTGCTCATATTGTCTTGAACACCTTGTCTCATGAGAGTTAATTCTGCCATACAGTCTGCGAAGTGGAGACTCCAAATGCCCCATTACCTGAATAATTTTAAGTGTGTATGCCTTTAGTGATAAAACTAATGGGTTTTCATAAATATACTGTCTCTGGATGGTTTTAGTCTTATACTGATATCTTACAACAGCATTTACAAGTTTCAGGATATTACGTAGTTTTCTGAATAGGTGGTCCAATTTACGTAGGAGCTGTGAAACTCATCCCTCCCATTGAACTCTTTGGGAGCCATGGGCTTACCTGTGGTTTTGAAACTCTACACTTGCAGTCTGAATATGAGCCTTAGTATCTCACTACAGGCACTAACTTTTTTGCATTTCAGCCGGGATTCCCTTCATTAAATGCATTTCTGAACGTTCAGACCTGAGGTGTGGCTATTATTATCAGACATAAAACCATATTGTAAGGTGATGCATATTTGAAGTATCCAGTGATGGAAAATTACAATGAAATAATTGTGATGATGTTCTCAGTAGAATACCAAATGTAGTTTCATACTCAGGTCAGGCAACTTAATGGCCGGTATTGTGGGGCGAGCAGTTGTACAGCCCTGAAGGAAGCACAGCTAGATGTTCTGGCTGAATTTATGCGTAGCGGTTGTGGAGGAGCTGTGTTTCTCCAACCTTTTGCAGGTTTTGTACTACTTTTTGTGTGTGTGTGTGCTTGATTTGGCTCAGACCCATTTGCTGGGAATGGAGGTGCCAAGGTTTTCTGCACTCTGCCAACTTGCATGCCAACTGGGGAGCTCTGGCCTGTAGGCCAGGCTTTTTGGTAGGCTATATCATGAGCTAAAACTATTTTACAAAATCTCTATTAAAATTTATTAGACTCCTGAACCCTGCTAAATACCAGGGACATTCTGATATGAGGTCCCTGACATGAAGTTGCCTTAAAATAGGGAAAACTGACAGTGGCTTTCTTTAGTACATTAATTACTCTGAAATATTTGCAAAAATTTTTTATAGATTTTAGCATCTTTTCTTTAATTTTGTTGCTGATATTCTAAATTTAGATAGTTTTCATGGAACAAATATTTCTGTGGTATAGCACAAATCCATTACGAGAATCTCTATGTGTTTAAAACAGTTTTTTTGACCAAATGCATATAAATCTAAACTTTAAGTGAGCTTTTCATGATTATTCTGTGGTATTTGTTTCATATGCTTAAAACCAGTGAGAAATGCTTGCTAAATTATTTTTGTTTGCCCAACCACTTCAGATAGTAGAACTACAAATAGCTTTTGTTGCTTTAATTTTTTTCATCATTGCTGTGTCTTTCATTCTCTTGCTAGGACCTACAGTCAGTAACTTCTACTACACAGAGAGTTCATTACCAGGTAAGATAAGCTTTGCTTTCAGTATCAGACAAAAAGAGGCTTAACAATGGGAACTGCACTCTTTGCATTCAAACCCAGGGGATTTTTTTGTTAGGTACCTGTCTGTTAGATGAATTTCTGCTTATCATTTACCCTCAAAAGTTGGAAGTTCATTTTGCTTTCCCTTGGACAGTCCTTTTCTTTGCAAACCTTATGGAATCATCTTTAAAATTAGCACAGCATGATGATGTGAGTGTTATTGCAATAGCAGTGCCTTGCATAGTGAAGTGAATGAGAGAACCTGTCCTGTAGGACAAATGATAAAAGTAAAATTGTTTCTCTGTCTGAGAAACTGAACAATAACATGTTATGTTGCATAGTTGTAGTAATAAATTCTACAGAGACTTTAGAGATGTCTAAAAAAGAGAAAAAAGATATGCTAGCTAGCCTAACCTCTTAATAATTTGGTGCACCATAGTCGTCTACATTTAGTTTACCATAATCGTCAGAGCAGTTTTTTAATCCATCCTGGGAACAAATGGGTCTCTTGCATGTGACAAACAGGTTCTAGTTTTAGGTGGCTAGTTTTAAAAATTGGTCTCTGTGCATTTTACAGCTTTATTCCACAATTTATACAATACAGAACTTGCCTTTACAGTTGGAAGTGTTGCTCAAGAATGCATATTTCTCTCTGTAAGGTATTGCACTGCACAGTGCTTAAATTGGGAATAAACTGATTCAGACTGTCTCTGATTCCTGAGCTGATCTGACAGTGCAGAGATTCAACACAAATTGTGGTCAGTTGAGACAGCGCCTAGGATCACAAAACAAGTTTGCATGGTGTTGATAGCATTTTCCTAGATTTAACAATGCAAGTCTTGTTGGGATCAG